ATCTCCAGCCTCCTCCCCCATCTCTTGCAGTTCTTAAGCACCCCATCCCGAAGCAGGCCAGCACTGTGGTTTTCCAACATGTTGAGTGCGTGTATGGTTGCGAGTTGAGAGTGACCTTAACCACTGCACGCCAGAGGCGATGCTATCTCAGCCTGGAGGCAGCGTGGAACCCCAACTAGGCAAGCGAGGTGCCGCCCCAAGTGTGCACACAGCCTTAGAACCCTGCCAAGTGCCCCTTGGTCTGCAGCTCATCCTCTCCAGGGAACAAACAAAAGGGAGCGGCCTCGCAGTGGCCTCCCGCTGGGACGTCTGTGCGGGGGCGGGGCGCGATCTGGAGGCCCCGGGCCAAGCACCGAGTAGACGATCCGGGTCGAAGAGGCGGGGCGGGCGTGGACCGCTTGGCCAAGGTCGCCACCCCCCCCCCCCCCCGCAACCCTGACCGTGAACCCGGACCCTCGGTCCCCCGCGCCCCGGATGGGCCAACCTGCCGGGTGTGGACACATCCCCCTATTCCATCTGGAAGTTTCTCTCTGAAAATAAAAGCCCAGCCGCAACCGGTGGCGGGTGAGAGGGGAGAGTGACATTTCTCCGGCCCTGTTCGGAGCTGCCGGTTAAAAATAGGGACTGTTCATTCAGGTCCGCCAGGGGTGGCCGTGGGCCGCGACACGCCCAAGTTCCCGAGAAGCCCCAGCGATACCAGATTATAATCAATCAATCCTCGGCTATTTATTGAACGCCTCCTTTGCATCCCGAGGGGCCCTTTTCCGGGACACGTGTCCGTGCAAGTGCAGGCGCATCCTCGCATCCCTCCCAGCCCCCTTGGCCTGCGCCTTTATTGCTGGGCTCCTGAACACAGGCCTAACGTCTGCTTTGTATAATTTCAGTGGCGGGATGTGGAGGGAGAGGAGGAGGGGAGACCTGGTGCAGTCTTTGGGGGAGGGGGGGTCCTCACGGTGCTGCCGGAGCTCGTCCTTGACTAAAACACACACACCTCAGTCCTAACAAGCTGTCCACCTGTGCCCCGGGTGTTCCTAGCCACCCCCTCCGTGGCGGAACACAGAAAAACTCCTGAACCTCCGGTCCAGCCAGGGATCTGCCCTTGATCTTCAGACTTGTGCGGGAAAAAAACACTACTTGAGACCAAAAACATCCGTCTGAAAAAAGAGACAAAGGCCCAAGGGGCGCGGGGTGAGGGGAGCAGGGGAAGGAAGAGAGGTGGGCAGAGAGGAGAGGGGCAGCGCCCCCACTTCCCTGTTTCCTTTCCTTGCGTCCTGCGGGGGTCCTGGGCCCTGGCAGCCTCTTCGGAGCCAGCGAGCGAGAGCGGCCTGGAGCACCAGCGCGCGGCCTTGACTCTGAGCACGATCCCGTCCGCTCGGCCTTGGGGGTCAGTGTCGGTGAAACGGAAGGCGCTGATCCCCACGCCCGTCATTAATAATACAACGGGGATCGCGGTAATTAATAATAATAACGATGGGGCTCCCGAGGGGACTCAAGCTGCCTTCGGATCAAGCGACACTGAGGCGGGGAGCGATTCGGAGTCGGAGCGGGGCGCGCCAGGACTGCTGGAGCGCCCCGAAGTTCAAGTTGGCGGCGGCGACCTGCAGAAACCGGCCCCGGGCCGCTGCCCTGCATTTCTCCCGCGGACGTCAACCCGCACCGGTACCTGAGGGAGGCGAAGGCCGCGTCAGAGGCGCGTTGTGGTGTCCAGTACCAGCGTCTGGTATTGAGGACTGGGGAGGCAGGTGTGGGAGACGCTGCTAGTGGCCCTTAGCCCCAGCCCCCGTCCCCCACACCCGACTGTGCGATCTTAGGCCTGCAGGGCCAGCGCCTTCTCAGAATGCAGCTCTGATATCTTTCATGACCTGACACCTTTGCCACCACCTCCCCATCCCTCTTGGCCTGCCCCCAGGGACTCCCAAGGCCAAGCTACAGGTCCGGGACTTGTTTGGACAGTGTGGTGCTGGAAGGGAGAGCCGGAGAATTAGGCAGCTGATGGCACAAAACCACTTCCCACCTGCTTCTCAAATTCTAAGGGGGGAGGGAGGTGAGGAGCAGGCAGGAGCACACACCCCACCCCCCACCCCTTGGCCATGCCTCTTCCCATCTCCATTTCCTGCTGAAAATTTGGATCAGGGCATCCTGGAGCATAAGAATTTTCCTTAGCCCCCGAACATTGCGTTCTGGAAAACCAGTCAGCCACCTTTAGTCTGAGATCTCCTTCCTCTCGCCTGTTTTCCTTCCCGAGAGAAAAGAAAGAAAGAAAAAAAAAAACCCTTCAAAACCTTTGAGTTGGCCAAGTTCCTCCCCAACCCCCATCCCACCCTGCCCTACCCCGCCCACCACCTTCCCCCCTCTTAGACTTGGAAGTCGGCTCAAAGTCGCTCCTTTCCACCGAGTTGAAAACATTTCTAATAAACCACCTCGGTCTTGCACAAGTGAGGACAAATATTTAATCTGACTCCCCGCCCCCCTCCTTCCCCTGGGTGTGGGAAAACTCTAAATTATTTTCCTGGCGGCTTATAATGTGTTTGATGAAACCTCCCAGGATCAGTAACATATGCCAATTATTTTAATAATTTTCCTTAATATTATTAGGGGTTATAAATTTGATTTTAATAGGGGGTTGATTGCTTCAGGAGCTGTTGCTTGGGCAGTATGCAGGGCCGCTGGGGAGGGCAGCCTGGTGGCGGCTCATTCCCTGAAACAGAGAGAGAGAGAGAGAGAGAGAGAGAGAGAGAAGAGAAAACCCCAAGACCAGAAACTTTGCCTCACTGAATGTGAATCTTGGGTGTTGCCCACACCGCAGCCCTCCAGCCTACCCTGGCTGGCTTGAGGGGCTCCAAGCACAGCCAGAGCGAGAGAGGCATTCACCACCACCACAGCCACCAAGCTATCGCCAGAAGCCTTGAGCTGGGGGAGGAGGGGGTGCTTGCTACAAGGGGTGTCTTTGCAACTGCCCAAATCGGTTCATAGGGGAAGAGGGGGCACTCCAGGGCTGCCAGGACTTGCAGAAATACTGAGAAAAGACAAAAGATGTTCCAATGGCTCCAGGACAGAATCACTTCCCCCATTCCTGCCCTCTGATTACTAAAAAAAAATTATTCTGCTGCCTTCTGTAGAGCCTTCACAGCTTAAAAATCTCTGTGCTCAACTCCACTCAACTCTTGCTGCAAATTGGAGGACTCCAGAGCCAGTGCTTTGCCGGCCTCAGCACCACCTGCCTGTGCAGTCTTTGGGATCTTATTCTTCCAAGGAATTCTGCAGGCACTTTCGTTTTACACCAGTGGTTAGTTGCTTTGCTCACAGAATGATGCAGTATCTCTCTCTCTCTCACCCTTCTCTTCAAACACTCTGCTTCTAGGGTGTGCAGATAAATAAGATTTCCTGACCAAGCCCTGTTTAAATTTCAGGAGAAGGGGGGGAAATCTTTTGGTAGGTGCGGCCCCCTTGGACAATCGTCACTGGGCCAAGTTCAAAAACAAAGTACTCAGCTCAGTTTTAAACATGCAATTAAAAATAACTGTACCTCGGCTTTTCAGGAGGGAGAGGAAAGGGGGCAGGGAGGAGGGAAAACAAAGAATAAGGAAATGTTTAGTGCTCTTAAATCCAGTTCAAAAAGCTGAAAGAAAGGCATTCCCTTGGATAATGGAGCCATTAGGAACTGGGAAGAATCCTGGAGCAGGTCCCCACAGGGGCTTTCCAAAAATTTAATTCAGCCACCAAACAAAGGACACAAAATAATTTGGAGACTTTCTGCCAAAGGGGGCGTTTGGACAGCTCTCTATGCATATATATACCTTCTAGGGTGGAGGAGCCCCCATTCATTCAGGCAGTTGATTCAGGACCCCTCTGCACTGCCACCTCCTTCCCATTTTGAATAACGTAGCTAGAAAAATATGTTCATGCAGTTTCAACACATTTTATTATATTTCTGTATGCATTACTCTCAAAACATATCACAAGAAATGATCAAACCACTTAAAACCTTCAAATAAAAAATCTGAAACAGTTTATGCCCACAATTGTACATATTTATAGTTAAGAAACATTCTTTATAAATATTGTTTCCTCTGTAGCAAGTTAATACCATAATTTAATTACAAATGGATAAATATGGCAACGGGTATTTACAGAAGGGTGGTATTACGAAAAAAAAAAAGCTAACGGCACGACGTTTATTTTCCCCCACAATCTTTCATACAGGAACTAACAAATTGAACTTGCAAAAGCGCTAAAACATCACATGTAAACCCAGCTAACAGAAAAATACATTCACAAGCGTTGGTGGTGAGGGTGGGGGGGCGGGGTTGTGTGCTGTGGTCGTGTTTGCAGAAACGGAATGGGAGACTTTGGCACGGCTCATGGGTTTTCGTTTTTTTTTTCCAGTCTCTAGTTGCATGGAGTTTACAATCAAGTTTGCCTCATAAAAAAAGAACACAATATTCAATACCACAATACAAAAGAAACCATTTTCCTCCACATTAAAGAGAAACCGACTCAACTAAAAAAGAGAAAAAGAAAAAGCCCATCACTTGGGGGAGAGGGAGGCAGAGGGACCCGGAGACTTACACAAGGACAAACTTCTCTACACCGAGAACGTCGAGAGGGAGGGAAGGGATGTTATGTACAGTTTGTCATCAGACTGGGAAGGCAGGCGGTGGGAAGGAAGGCGGGGAAGGGGCCGAGGTGAGGAGGTGGGGGGGGGGGGGGAGGGCTGGTGCGTTTTTTTTTTTTTTTGCAGTTTTTCTTAAAATTTCCTAGCTTATATTTTCAGCTTCAAAGGCTCCGGAAGGGATATTTTTTGTGTTTCATGCTTAGATTATTTTTTAAAAAAACAAAGAAAAAAGAAGAAAAGAAACTTTAAAAATCCTTTCTGCTGGTAAAGTCGATTTCATCTTCGTAAGAATCAGAATTTTCGCGGCGCGAGCCCGCCTGGCGCGCGGGGCGGGCAGGAGGCGGGGGCGGCGCGGGAGAGCGGGACCCCCCCTTCCCGCGGGGCCCCTCACACGTACCATTCATTGAAGTTGGAGGAGAGGCCGCTGTGGCCCCCGGCCGTGCCGCTGCCCCCGCCGGAGCCTCCGCCGCCCCCGCCGCCCGCCCCGCCGCTGCCGCCCCCCGCCGGAGCCCGCCCCGGAGCCGCCGCCCGCCCCGCCGCTGCCCGCGCCGCCGCCGCCCCGGTGCACGGCCGACACCGCCGCGGCCGCCGCCGCCGCTGCAGCCGCCGCCGCCGCCGCGGCCGGGGACAGGTTGGAGCTGCTCTGGGGCTCGGCGCTGGGGGACACGAGCCCCGGCGGCGTGGACGATTCGTAGCCGGAGCTGGCGGCCGGGGAGGACTCGGAGCCCTGCGGGGAGGACTCATGGACCTGCGAAACAAAAGGCGCGAGGGGAGAGCAAAGGGGACTGGGTGTGAGTGCAGCTGCTGTGGGGTCGAGCCCCCCAGGAGACGCCGCCTCCACCCCTCTCCCCGCGGGGCCCCCGCCGCCCCCCCGGCCCGGCCTCCCGGGGGTACCTTCATGTGCTTGCGCAGCGAGCTGGGGTGCGTATAGGACTTGTCGCACATCTTGCACAGGTAGGGCTTGTCCGACGTGTGCACGTGCATGTGCTTCTTCCGGTCGCTGCTGTTGGCGAAGCGCCGGTCACAGCCCTCGAACTCGCACTGGAAAGGCTTCTCCCCTGTGGCCGGCAAACACAGACACTGGCCCAGTGCGCCCCAGGCGCCTCCACCCCAGCCCCCCACTCCAACCCCGCGCCTGGACGCCTGCACTGGCGGGGAGGGGGCAGGGGGCCCGGGGATAGGCGACTGACGCTAAGGGGTGTCCGACACCGGCCTAGCTAGAAGAGATGCTCGGCCTTTTCTCTCTCGGGGCGCCTGGAGTTCTGAAGGAGTTTGAAGGTAATCCCCGCGCCCAGCCTGTTCTGCTTGGATTCGTTGCTTCTCGCAAGTTGCTCTCGCTGAGGAGAAGCTGTTATTATGACAAAATATTTGGGGCATTATCCAAAGCACCCAGGCTGCGAGGCTGCTGTCGCCTTCTCTCTGGGGCCAGTAGGCAATTCCATTTGGAGTTGCTATGTGTTGTTCAGGATGGAGGAGCCTGAGCCACTGTTTTTCATCCAAAATCCGGTCAACGGAACGCATCCAAAGACTCCCCAAGTTTCCCTTGCCGCCTCTTAAAAAATAATGAGTAGAGAGAGGAAAGTCAATGCCCAGAGAAGACAGTAGCTGGTGATCGGTGATCACAAGAAACATAGACTGGGGTGGGGAGGGAGGGGGTGTGCAGGGTGCAGCGATGATGGCTTTTAGAATCTTGCTGCTTGGTTTCCTAAAGGTTCCTGCATCCTGGTGCCAGAATTCCAAATGCTTGGAGTCATTTAGAGGTGTGAGAACTCAAACATGGTTCCACTAGAAAAGGGAACCACTTAACGTTAAATTTCATTATCACCTAAATTTTTTGAAAAAGACATCCGCTCAGAGGCAGGACTTGAAGGCGAGCGTCTCATGCAAATAAATTTCTCAAATTTTAAACCTTGTTAAGAGCTCGTCTCGCACCTCCACTCCCTCCCTTCCCGGAAGAGAACAATAGGCCGCTGGCGCATCCCCACTCCAGAGTAAATATTGACGGGGGAAGTTGCTAAAACATTTGGCTTTCTTTTAGGAAATCGTCTGGCACGGTTTTGACTGGGACCTGGTCAGAGAGGGAGAATCTACGAAGGGAGGCGCAGCTCTTGCGAGAGCCTCTCCCGCCCCCCAGCTGGCCCCGCGGGGCCGCTCTGATTCTCTGGTTCTCGCCCGCCCGCAGGGTGGTTGGCACAAGTTTGGAACCGCAAACCCAAAGGCGCCCACGAGAGAATTTCACAAACTGCCTGAACCCACCTTCCCTGGGAAGGCCGGCAAACGCACCCGAGGTGTGCGAAACACACACACACACACACACACGAAAAAGAAAAGAAAGAAATGGAGAAATGCTTTGCCGATTTCATCTCATACCCAAATTCTCTGAACTGGGGAGTCGCCGTGGAGGGAAGGGAATTTAAAAAAAAAATTAGGGAAACACACACACACACACACACACACACCACTCAGAGCCAGACCCCGGGGCAGAAAAGCACATTCAGACAAGCTGGCAAAATCCTTTCAGCTAGGCTCAATTCCCGGGCAACCGGAGTTAGACAAGCCGGGTAATTTAGAGCGTTCCATTTCGAAAGGAAAATTTATCGAGGGCGGGAGGCGGGAGAGAACTGAGCACAACCCGAGTCTCTGCATCATCCAAATGCACACGTGAGGCTACGCCAAGTCATTTAAAAGCTCAGTTTCCGCGCACGGAAAAAAACCAACCCCGAAATAGTCTACGGTTCGCCAACAAAAACAAGCCGTTGTTTCTCTGGCTTACACCAACGCGTCTCCCATCCCAGGCCCGGGCTCGGCGGTGGCTCTGCGCAAGCCGGTCCCAGCCACCCTCTGCCCCGCGCTCCGCCCCGGTGCCGGGTCCCGGGTTACCTGTGTGGGTCCTTTTGTGGATCTTGAGGTTCTCGGAGCGCGCGAAGACCTTGCCGCAGCCCGGGAACGGGCAGGGGAAGGGTTTCTCGCCCGTGTGCACGCGGATGTGATTGACCAGTTTGTATTTGGCCTTGAAGGGCTTGCCCTCGCGCGGACACTCCTCCCAGAAGCAGACGTGGTTGCTCTGCTCGGGGCCGCCGACGTGCTCCACGGAGACGTGCGTGACCAGCTCGTGCATGGTGCTGAAAGTTTTGTTGCAGCTCTTCTTCGGGTTGCTCAGTTGCTCGGGGTCGATCCACTTGCAGATGAGCTCCTGCTTGATGCACTGCTGCCGCATGTAACGGAAAAAGGCACCCGGGTGGTGGTGGTGGTGGTGGTGATGGGCCGCGGCTGCTGCCATGTTCATCCCCATGTTCATATTCATGGGACCGTACTGGTTGTGGAGCTGAGCCGCCGAGTAGGGGTCGGTCCGCGGGCTGGCCACCTGGCGGTACTGCTCCGAGCGCCCGAATACCTCGCCGGGCAGCCCCAGGCGCATCTGCCCGTTGAGCACATTCTGCGATCCGTGCGGCCCGTGCTGCTCGGGGAGGCCGGGGAACAGGAGGTGGCCCTGCGCGTCCGAGTGCGCGTGGTGCAGGCCGCCAGCCCCGGGCCCGAAGAGGCCGTGCTGCCCGCCGCCTGGCGCCGAGTCCCCGAAGCCGCGACTGCGGAAAAGGAAGTCCCGGGTGGAGTTGAAGGGCGGCCCCGAGTAGGAGCCGACGTGCGCGGCGTGGGGGCCGAGCGCGGCGGCGGCAGCGGCGGCGGCGGCGGAGCCCGGGTAGGCGCCGGGGCCCTGCGACGTGAACGCCGAGCTCTGGCCGGGGGACAGCTCGTGCGCGCCCGGGTTGAGTTTGAAGGCGCCCATGTGCGCGGCGGCCGAGTCCACGAAGCCGTTCTGCGCCGCCGCCAGGCTCAGCTCTCGGTCTTGCATCTCGGCGGCCGCCGCCGCCGCCGCCGCGGCCGAGTGGTGATGGTGGCGCGCGAAGCTGCCCACCCCGATGGCCGGGAACTGCGGCCCCGCGTCCAGGAGCATGGCCAGCCCGCGTCCGCCCGCCCCGCCGGCTCCGGCGAGCCCCGCGTCCGCTCACGGCTCCCGCTCCCGCTGCTCGCCGCGCGCGGCGGCGACGACGGCCGCGGCCACCGGCCCCGAGCGCAGGCGGCGCTGGCGGTGGCGGCTGCAGCCCCGGGAGCCGCGCTCCTGCGCCCGCCGCCTCCGCCGCCTCCTGGATCTGCCTCGGGCGGCCGGGCGCGGAGCGAAGGCGCGGAGAGGAAGAGGAGGAGGAGGAGGAGGAGGAGGTGGAGGAGGAGGTGGAGGAGGAGGAGGAGGAGGTGGAGGAGGAGGAGGAGGAGGAGGAGGAGGAGGAGGAGGAGGAGGAGGAGGAGGAGGAGGAGGAGGAGGAGGAGGAGGCGGCGGCGGCAGCGGCGGAGGAGGAGGAGGCGGCGGCGCGGGAGGAGGAGGAGGAGGAGAAGAGTCCAAAGCCAGGCGGAGAACCAAAGTGTATTAAAGGAGCTGCGGCGGGGGCGGGCGGACAGGGCAGGGGCGGGCGAGCGGGAGGAGGGAGCGGGCGGGCGGTGCGGGGAACGGCGCGAAGAGGGGGGCCGACGGGGGGCGAGCGCCGCGCCGCGCCCCCACCCCTGCGCGCCCCCGAGCGCGCACGCACCCGCTCGCCGGCTCGCACGGCCCGCGGCCCCGGGGCCCGGCCGCGCCGAGCAGCGGCGCCCGCACGGTGGCAGGAGCGGCGCGGCGGGGCCCGGGCGGCGGCGCGCGGCGGCGAAGGCGGCCTCGCTGGGGCGGGCGGAGGGCGAGGAGCCGACGGGAGCCCCCCAGCTCCGCGCTCGGCCCCCCCGGCCCGGCGCGTCCGCGGCTCCACCTGCCCGCGGCGGGGACGCCGGTGGGCAGAGGCCGTGCGCCCCGTCCACCGCGCGGCCAGCACCCCGCGCGCCCGGCCGCTCCCGCCCCCGCGGCCCAGCCCGCGCCGCCCCGCGCGCGCCGGCGGCGGGTATTGTTCGGCGCCGAGGCCGCGGTGCTCAGCCTTCCTCGTCGTCGGCGCCGGGCATTGGCTGCGCCCCCGCCTAGCAAACTTCCAGCGGCGGCCGCGAATTCCCCCAGATGAAGGGAGCTACCGCCCCGCTCCCCCTTTCTTTAAGTTCTGCGGGGGAGGCGGGGAGAAGGGGGCTGTGGGAGGGGAGAAGGCAAGCGGAGGGACGGGAGGAGGGGGAGACTGGGCTGAAAAACAATAACAATAAAAAAAAAGTGATCTCCAGCTCGCTCCCTCCCTCTCGCCGTACGACGCGGGGCGCCCGGCTCGGAGCTAGCGGCCAGACCCCGGGAGAAGCGAGAGGCGTCGGCGGGGCCCGGGCAGCTGGCAGCGGCCAGTGCGGGTTCCGCGATTCGGGGCTCGGCGCGTCGCCGCTTCTGTTTATTTCAGTGGGTGCTGCCCACGCTGCTGGCTTTTCTTTCCTTTTTTTTTTTTTTATTTTTGTCTCCTCCTTTCCCCTTCCCCTCCCCCCTCGCCCCTGCGGCTGCAGCCCCGACCTCCCCCTCCTCCCCCATGGCCGCTTCAGGCCGGGCCTCGGGGCCACGCCGCCCCTTTGAACCGCGGCTCCCGCCCCGCCCGCGCTCCGGGCACTGCGATTGGCCGCCGCGGCGCTGTCAATCTGGCACCCCCGCCCCGCAGCCGGCGCGCCCCTCCTCCCTCCCCGGCACCCCCCCCCCCCCAGCTCCCCGACTGCCCTGGTCGCCGCAGACCATCGTGGCCGCGGGTCCGACCCCGAGTACTCGCCGGCGCTCGCGCGCGCGCCGGGCACGGCGGCTCCGCTTCCCGCTCGCCTTGCGGGAGCTGCGGGAACCAGCGGCCTGCAAAGCGCGGGCTCGGGCCACGGGGTCACAGCGTCCTTGGATAGGCCGGCCGGGGGGGCGGCACCCCGCATGCCCCGAGTGCCTTTCAGAGGAGGCCATCGTATATTGGGGGGGCTCAGCTGTTGGCTGGAGGACCAGGCTGCAAGCCGAGCCGTGGAGCGGGAGGCGCCGGGGGCCGGGACACTTCACGCAACCAGGAGTGCGCGGGGCCGGCGCCTGGGAACAGGCTCCTGGTGGACCGTACGCACGCGCACTCCCTGCCCGCGACGCACGCACGCACAGTTGGCAAAATCGCTCAGTGGCATTGCAAATACAGGTGCAGGCTGTGGGGGGGAGGGGGCTCGATTGTGTCAGATGCCTTCTTCCGCTCTGGAAGGCAGCTACAACCCACCACCGCCCGGGTCCCCAACAGGCTCCATTCCCAGCAACACGCCTCCCGCTCAGGTTTCAGTAGCCACTGGGGTGGGGGCAACGGCCCCCGCGAGGGAGGGGTGTAGGGAGTGCTTTGAGGACAGAGTCACTTTGGGGTGCCGGTCTAGAGGTCCGGATCGGCTGCCAGGATGGGGTCAAAAGTACAGGGTGCCAGAGTTGCGGGGCTCGGCCAGGCCCACGCTTGGCGATGCACCGCGGGTCAGATTCGGGACCTCTCAAGAGAATTTTTTAAGAAAAGAAAAAAAAGTCTTCCAACTGGTAGAACTTCCGTGTTAGGCGGCCTCCCTCTTTCACTGGGGACGTATGCGCCCCAGCCCCAAATCTGGGCGTTGTCAGGGCCCGTGAGGTTGCTCCAGGCTTGCACGGGGCCTACCTGGGGTCTTTGAGCTCTGGCCACCCTACTCAACCTCCGGGCACCAGTCTGGCTACTGCGGACGCTGCCAGTCCTGCGCCTGGAAGTTTGCGCCGTGGAGGTAACGGGACGGCCACACGCCACGAACAGTTACACGCCACGGACGTGTGAGGGAAGGGCCTGGGGCGCGCACACCTTTCTGCGCGCCTCGCGTGGAGAGCCACCTTTATTTACAAGATGTCTGCGAGTTGAAATACAATCCAAGCTATTGGAAAATAGGCCACGCGCCCCCCCCACCAATTTCTGGTTGAAATGAAATCAACAAGAACGCGGGAAGTGAGCTGGAGCTCGCTGGCGCTGGCAGAAGGCCGGGCTCTCTCGCGCCCGCACCGGCAGCCGCTCCCGGCTTCAGCCGGTCTCGAAATCGAAGCTGGCTTCAGTCCCTAGAACAGGGGGCCTAGAGTCTTCCCGCTGTCCCCTCCCCCTTTCCCCTTGCATGTGGGGTGGGGGGAGTGGGTGGGGGAGGGGATACAAAGGCAGGAAGGAGGGTGTCCTAAACTACTTGTAAAAAGCCAGGGAATTAGTTTGCCTGTAAACTGGAGATTTTCTCCTTGCCTAGACGAACGTTTCTTTTCCACAACCTTATCCTCCATCAATAGTGGGGAGGTGGGGTGATGCAACACCTCTCCTTGGCAAAGAAGAACCCGAAAGAAGAACACCGCCCCCCCCTACATTGAATTCAGTTTTTAATTGTCTCATGCACATCCTTTAACACTTGTGTGCTTTATTCAGCAATTTACAGTGGGTGTGGAGGAGAATAATTGGAAAAGCTTCTGCCAAACATTTCCAAAGGGAGGTCTCCTGTAAAGGCAAAGGTGCACAACCCTAAAACCTCCAGCCCTTTTCTCTTCGTCGCTCTGCACACATGCCAGCACCTTTCCCTCCTTTTCCACTTTCTTGCCCCCTCCCCGTCCTTCTGCTCCTCTCTTCCTGGACCCATTCTCTGCTTTTGCCTTTGATTTCTCCCTTTGCAGCGCCCGCGTAGGGGCCCGCGCTGCTGGGCGCTCGCTGGGGCCGGATTCCGGGGCTGCACCCGCGGTCGGCTGATGGGGGCAGACGCCTTAATTCCCGCAGGAGACCCGGCGGGCTGGGCCCTCCTGGCTATTCTTTCCCCGGCTCCAGTTCTCCTCTCTCTGCAGGACATAGAAGAACTGAGCCAAGTTCAAAGTCACGTCGCCGTCCCCTCTTAGAAGTGCTTTATTTCTCTGCAAACGGCAAAATCCCTTACCCTCATGACACAGACTTTTTTTTTCCTTAAGGAAGGAAGGGAAGAAAGAGCTGGAAAGTCCAAGGGGTAGGGGGCAGGGAGGAGGAAAAAAAGACCGAGCAAAGCTTAGGGAAGCGTTGTTTGCAAAGTAGATTTGGGAGCCTTGCCTTGGCAGAGGCGGGTTGGAGGGGGACACTGCCAGGAGACATTTTGCACAATTCACTGACGTGAATTCTCTCTTTTTCAACAGGTTTCTGGAAGGCTCTTCCCTGGCAGGGGTCAAGCCGTGGGACTCAAAACCATCTCCACCTGGTGAACAGGTACCCTCTTTGTAAGTTGTCCTAAATCATTCTCTAACTCTCCAGGAACCTGGGGTCTGGCATGAGAGGAGGCGGCTGACTATGGGGACTGGCCCTGGCCCGCCTGGAGTCCCCTTTCCTGGCAAGTGGCCTGGAGCAGCCAGGCCATCGTGATTTCCGTGGGTCTTCACAAAGCTGACAGAGTCTGGCTCATTTCCTTACTGAGCACCTGGCAGTGGTGGTTTGTGGGTCTCTGTGGCGGAGGTCTGAGTTTCTTGGTGGTATGTGGCATATTTGAGGCCATCTACATAAAACAGTGTATTTGTCCACACAGCATGCTCTATACCACATCTAGGTATATCTTGCTGGCTGGGAGAGACTGGATGCAAACAAGCCAGCTGAGAACCCACTTTTCAAGGATGGCTATACCAATTCCAACTTTTCATTTTCTTCTTCAAGAAGGGGATGCAAATGGCGGGGGTGGGGGGGGAGGGCAGACAAAAGAAAAGAGATTTCACAGGATCTCAGCACCATCCCCAGTATCACAGGCACATAAATTCAACAAGATCATCAGTAGGATATTACATTGCAGGCCACCTTTGACTCAGCCCACTCAGCTACTCCTGGGCTGGGTGACCCCTGACCCATGAAGGACCACATGTGTGGTGGGGGAGCCCACATATCCAGCTGAACACCCCCCTCCCCCAAGAACAAAAGTTCTTTGTCAGGGATTACTTTTGGAGAAATGTAATGTAAAAGAAGGGGGGAAACTGGGACCCTCTCAGCCCAGCCTGCTACAACATTTAAAAACCACTTCTAAGGGGAGGGGAGGGGAGTGTGTGAAGAGAGAGCCTTCCATTAAGCCCTCCTGTCCAGTCCACTAAAAACTCCTTCTTTTCCACAATGAAAATTTACAGTTCTGTAACCAGGCTTATAAAATGTCTCTCTATAAACTATATAATGCTGGCAGTTCAGTGATAAGGATGCAAATATTGGCATGTTTGTCAATAGGGGTGGCTGAAAAGGAAACTACTTAGAAGGGACAGCTGTGGTGATTTTGCAAAAGAAAGAGAATTTGCTCTTATTTTCTCTCCTCTTTCCTGATGAAAGTGTTTCTGCTTTAAAGAAACAAG